TTCCTTCTAATCGGGAAAAAAATAACCAGATAGTACAGAATTTGGAGCGTGGTTTACAAAAAATATCTGAGAAAGGGAAGAAAATTCTATAGTTTATTTTGGCATCTCTGAACCTTTCAAACAAGCTTCCCTCAGACTTACAAATTTATTTCCAAGACTATGAACAAGGTCACATGATATTTGCGTGACAGTTATCATTTGTCAACAATGTGAATGCTTCCCAGGTGATGTTTCAAGACATTTAGGAACCATATCACCTAAGACAAAAAAATTCAACAAGTCATCCCATAGTGACAGTAGTCTATGGTGATGCACCATTTGGTGATGGATGCTAGCATTCCTTTGAGTAGGAAGCTGTTGTATCCCTGCTGCCACTCATTGGCGAGCTGCAGTTTGAGAGCTGTTTTAATGGGGAAACTTGCCCAGTCAAGCTTACTAAGGTTAGACAAGCACATTCAGATGCATTTATAGGAGTTTGGTTCTGGTTTGTTGATTATGTTGATAAACCAGATTGACAGGTTGAAAAGCTATCCAAATATTATTTGTGTTTATTGATTGCAAATAATTGTATCATATTTTTTGTTATTTGGTGATTACATCTCTTTCATTTTATTCTGTATAAAATGTTTGTGATTGCTATTGAGTTTTATCTCTTTTTTTAGCAAATTATTACTTAGGAGGCAACTGGTAATCTTCATAATAATGATCATACTTTTTCTTTTGTTAGGTACACTTTTGTATAGAGTTTAGATCTGCGTTTTAAAACTGTGACAAAGTGTGGGAGAAGTAGACAAAGATAGGAGCGTGTGCATGCAAAAAGTTCAAACCAGGAGTTTAATGGATCAGTGTTTATTGAGGTGTTTAAGGGTTAACAGTGCTGTAGAATCAGTGTAATAATTAACAGAGGTTTTTTTAATATAGTAAAATACTAAGGCCATCTTTTTGGAATGCTTGGGGCTACACTTTTGTCAGTTTTATAACACAACAATTATTATTGTTTAATATATACTGTCAGCAGTGTGCTAGGTGTTAGCAGAAAAAGGAACACCTTGTTACATAGTCTCACTTCTTTTTATTCTTAGAACATAAGAGAAGCAATGCTGGATCAAACCACCCCCCCCCCCCCCAAGTCCAGGATTTAGTTTCATTCAGTGGCCAATCAGATGCCACAGGGAAGCCCAGAAGCAGCCCTCATCTGCTGGTTGTTTTCCAGTCTTTGAAGGAAACATTCTTCGTCTGAACCCAGGTGTCCCATTTGGCTATGATGGTTAATAGCCACTAGGCCTACTTCAGTCTTCGTTCCTCCAGTCTAAGCCCATTCATTCAGTAGACTTAGACTGGAGTAATTGCATGGGATTCTGCAGATGAGGTTGCACCAGGGACATGGATACTGGCAGTTTGATTCTTAGTCTCTACCATCCTTCATATTCTTCACACAATCCTTTGTTTTCGAAGGCTTTCATGGCCGGAGTTCATTAATTGTTGTAGATTTTCCGGGCTGTATAGCCGTGGTCTTGGCATTGTAGGACCTGATGTTTCTCCAGCAGCTCTGACTGGCATCCTCAGAGGTTTTACACAGAAAGATGGAGTACTCTCTGTGTCAAGGTGAGAAGAAAAATGGTAGGCAGGTAATTTTTATCTACTCAGGAAGGTAGGGCCGAGGAGTTCCCCAGGTTGTGACATGCTAATGGAGGAGCTTTCCTGAAGAGGTTCTTTTGCATATGGATTGGCTGTTAATCAACAAAATCAGTCCTCTGAAACTCAGCCCACAGGACATACTCGTCAGTTTTGATGTGGTATCTCTTTTTACCAAGGTTCCAGTAAAAGACACACTCACGCTTGTTAATCCGATTTTTCCAGAAGATATAACAACCTTATTCCATCATTGTTTGACAAACAGCTACTTCCAATGGGATAAGAATTCTATGAACAGATGGATGGGATTGCCATGGGAAGTCCTCTCAGTCCGGTTATAGCAAACTTCTACATGGAATATTTTGAAAAACAGCTTTAGAATCTGCACCTCACAAACCTACAGTCTGGTTCTGGTACGTAGATGATACCTTTATCATTTGGAGCCATGGATAAGTAGAATAGATGGAGTTTTTAGACCACCTCAATAACATCTACCTGAACATACAATTCACCTTGGAAAAAGAAATTGAAGGTAAACCCCCATTTCTAGATATCATGGTCATCCGCAAAGCTAACCTTCAATTAGATTACAAGGTGTACAGAAAACCAACTTACACGGATCGTTATTTACACAAAAACTCCAATCACCACCCTCGACAAAAAAGAGGCATAATCAAAACATTAGTAGACTGTGCAAGACGGATAGGTGAACTGCACTATCTCGACGATGAACTAAATATAAACCACTCACTTCAAGCAAATGGCTACTCCAAGAATGAAATCAGAAGAGCAATTAAACCAAAGGTAAAACAAACAACTAAGGAAAAACAGTCTCCCGCAGGAAAAGTGTTTTTGCCATATATCAAAGGAATCACTAATCAGATGGGAAAACTTATGAAAAAACACAACCAACAAACAGTATTCAGACCCACCAGAAAAATACAACAGATGTTACGATTGGCAAAAGACAGAAGAGACCCCCTCACTTCTGCAGGAGTATACTGCATACCATGCAGTTGTGGACAGGTTTACATTGGGACCACACAGCGTAGCATTCAGACAAGAATAAAAGAACATGAAAGACACTGCAGACTGGACAACCTGAAAAATCAGCAGTGGCTGAACATAGCCGAACTCAAACAGGACACTGAAATGCTGGACAACATATCCAATTACCATGTCAGATTACACAGGGAAGCCATTGAAATTCATAAACATAAATACAATTTCAACAGGAAAGAAGAGTGTTTAAAAATAAATAGGGCATGGTTTCCTGTCCAGAAAAACACAAAATGCTCAACATCCTATAATAGCACTACAGATAAGATTAGAATTTCAACAGTCAATCCATATGCAAAAGAACCTCCTCAGGAAAGCTCCTCTATTAGCATGTCACAGCCTGAGGAACTCCTACAAGATAATGACTCAGCCCTACCCCACCTTCCTAAGTAGATATAAATTACCTGCCTACCATTTTTCTTCTCACCTTGACACAGAGAGTACTCCATCTTTCTGTGTAAAACCTCTGAGGAGGCCAGTCACAGCTGCTGGAGAAATGTCAGGTCCTACAATGCCAAGATCGTGGCCATTCAGCCCGGAAAATCTACAACTAATCCTTTGTTTTCATTTGTGTGTTGGACACATCAAATTACATGCGTAGCAAAATTCACAAGTTCCCCCAAGATAGCAAAAAATGTTGCTACAGCTCAAGAATCTTGAACTCATCAGATGACTGCCAGCAATTTATCATTGAGAGGTCCAAAGTCTGGCAGCAGTGTCAGCACTATTGTTAGGTACTGATTGTGTTCTTTACCACACATAGTGGTGACTTCTTGACTGGATACTGAAATCAGTGGTGCTACAAGAAAATGAACATGCAAGTGTTGCTATGAATTTAGTGGTTGATTTAAACAATATTATTTGAAGTTGGCATAATGTTAACAGTGGCTCTCATAGACTTTAGGTTTGTGGTCCAAAATGTCTCTTTTTTGGAAACATGTATTAAGAACGAAAGTTAAGTCGTGAATTCCTCTGTCTGTTTTCACAATAGGGTTTAGCATTTTCATCATGATAAATTACTGCCATGTCATAGTTGCTTGATTTACAAGATGCGATTATTGCAGGCCTCCTACTGTGGAATGTTTATCCTTTCATTTATTACCTAATAAGGAGAGACAGGGCCAAGATGAAATATGATGAAGACCAAAATAGTGGCTTCATTGTGACAATAGCCAATGAATAAGCAGTGGAAAGATACTAGCAGTTTATCACATGAAAAATTAGAAGGGGTATCACTAAAATAATTGCATTAAATCAGTAACTTTGGTTTCTTTCTAATACAACCCAACCAAATAATAGAAAGCCAAAGGAATAATACATAATAAGGGAATACATAATTATACAGTAAGGACATTTGATTATTGGTGTTTTACCCAGTAAAGTAGAAATCAGTTTTCAGGTCTTAACAGTTATGCTAGAGGAAGCAAAACTGCTTGACATTGTTACTCATGCACTGATTGGGGTCATGTTCTGTGACATGAGAAAGCAAACTGTACATCTAAAAATAGTTTTATTTTGGGAAGAATATTGGAAAGGAAATACTTTTTCAGTACCTACAAAACACACATTGCAAAAGTAAAAAGAATATGCTAGGCAAACCTTCCAGTGTCTAGAGCTGTTGGACTATGTTTTACCCAGGAGCAGAAATAAGTCTTCTAATTATTGATTTGAATCTTGTATGATCAGGTCCTTTGTATACAAAAACAATGGTAATTGCAATGTAAAATGTGATTATTTTGTTCACTAACGGGATACATTTTCTTGGAGATATATGAAATGAAACAGTCCCAATTCTGTTTTTAATCAATGCTACTGAAATGGTAGGTGTCTTTAGGACTAAAATGTATTTTTTTCCTGCATTGAAGTGCCCAGATCATTTCATATAAACAAAACAAATATCAGACGTATATCCACTATTTTGGAAGGGGGCAAATGGCCACAAGAAGACTTTTCTTCCTTCCTGATGGCTGTTCATTCACCTTTATATGAAATGATACTGGTACTTCAATGCACATAAAAGATATTTAATCTCTAATCATGTTTACAATAAAATGGAAAAAGTCCCATTGTAAAAAAATAGATAATTATTTTTTGACATAGAAGATTTGTTATATTAGAGAGCATGCCCTCAACACCATTTTAGTATATAACCAGTACTGAAAGGCAATAGCTCATCACCAGTGGTTATCCTCAAAAATGGCCCTGTGAATCTGCCCCAATTTCTGCAAATTTTGTATGAATGTCTTCCAGTTGATTTCTGAACATGTGACTTTGGTTTATTTGAAATGTTTCCCTTTTCCTCTCAGGTTCATGTGCAATGGTCAGACATGGTTACTTTAAAATCCAGAATGACCAATTATGGCTTACCCAGATATCAGTGGCTTACTCATGCCTGGAATTTCTTTCAGAGAGAGGTAAGATGACATCCAGTTCATAATGTGGCTATGAAGTACCTTAATTGTGTACTTTGAACTACCTGGAGAAGTTCTTGGTTGGTCTGCACATGATTTCACATTTCATTTTTTTAAAGTGTTGGACGCTGATAGGCAATCAAATACTTAACAAGCAATAACTCTTCTCTGCACCTCCTTGTGATTCATAGGCCGAGTTCAGACTGGCAATTTGAAGTGCTAGGGAGTCGTGGCAAAGAAAACCCGGAACAGACCTGGAACAGCTTGGTTGCGGTATTCCCATTCACACCACAGCGAATGAAGCGGGAGGATACCATGGAGGAAGAGCAAGGGAACATTCACACTGTTGGTCCGCCCTGGCGGGCTGTTAGCGGCTGTTTCCGCGCTGGGCTGCATGCGCATGGGCGTAGCGGCAAATAGGGCAGGATTGTGCAGGCGCCAATGGCGCCTGCCTGTGGAGATAGCCTATTATCAATGCCTATTATCAATGACTGCGGGTTGTTCCCGCCTTAGCAGCACTTGTGTTCACACTTAGGGAACCGAAATCAACCCGCTCTACACACAGTTTGCTACCACTTTCACCTGGTATCTTTTAAACTCTGGAGGGAAGTGGCACAAGATGGCTTGAGTACGGCTGGGGGACACCTGAAACATGTGCCTGTGTGAACCTGCCCCTTTAATCCGCTACTGAAACGCTCCTGAAACGTTTGGCTGCCGGGCCAAACCGCCAGTCTGAACGTGGCCATAGTGTCTCCAAAGATATGTAGTTGTTGAAAAACAGAATCACAATTAACTAAGCAGGTACTGGAAGTCTACTCAATGGACCTTCCTCCCAGGAGATTATTTTTAGGAATGCATTGTTAGTAACTTAATTTGAACAAATGAGGGGGTACCTCTTACATATTTTTATCCTATCATTCTTCTGAAAGTGGCATTCATTGCCTCTTCCATTTTATTTTCACAACAACCCTGTGAGGTAGGTCAGAGCAAAAGTTATATATAGAGAGAGGGACTAACTAGACCAAGGTCACCTAGTGAGCTTCATAGCTGAATGGGGATTTCTTTCCAGTTCTAGCATGCTATTCTAACCATTAAACCATCTCCACAATGATACCTCTACCACACAATTCTTTTAAGCTTCCCCGAAGCATTGGCTTCCCACAGTCATATATTTAGTACTGTGCTAAATGGACCTTTGGTCCTACCCAGGGGGCCAGTCCTGTGGTAGTTAGGATTGTAAGATAAGCTTTTCCAATAAACTAAAGAAAGAATTGAATTTGTTCCTTAACTGAAGATATAAATGTCTAAAAGTGGATTTGGGGCAGAAAGTTTAGGAAAGTTTAATGTTGAAGAGTTGGAAAGAAGTTGAAAGTCTTGAAAGAAGGGCAGTCTGTGAAACAGTACTTGCCATTGTCTGCAAAGTAGCCCATTGCCTCTCTAATTGATGGTGAAAATAGCATTTGCTTATATTTTTGGTCCTTAGGTGAGGGAGAAACACAGAGCTCTTTTTTAAAAGAATGAACTATTATATTGCAAAAACATGGAAGTGCACAAGGTAAAAGCCATTAATTCAAGATACATGTTCATGTGCAGGAAAAGAACACTTTAAATGCCTGTCATTCTCTTGCCTCGTTGAAATCTGAAATTTATCACTTTTGCACAGATTTCCTGTTTATTTAAACATTTCCTGGCTGCATTTGATAAGTCTGTATTTGTTTTAGAAAGAGCTCAGTAGGCAGAATATAAAATTAACAAGTTTTAAGTTGTTTTCCTCTAAAGGCACTCCAATGTCAGAAGAAACAATGTAGCTTTTTATGAAGACAGTGTTTTTATTATCTTAGTTTCTTCCAACTGAATGAACTGGCTCTTTCCTTGTCTTCTGGAGTTAGTTTAAATATGGAGTCACTAGGAATAAGGCTCGTTGTGGAAATAAATACAATGAGCTCTAGAAAGAAGCTCAGGGAGAGTGCCAAGGCCTTGGGCACTCAGTGTCAATGTGCTGTGGCGACCTCAGCAGGGTATAATGACACAGAGTCCACCATTTTCTCCAGGGGAACTGATCTCTGCCATCTGGAGAGCAGTTGTAATTCTGAGTGGTCTCCAGCCCTCACCTGGAGATTGGCAACAATGGTTTCCCAGGAGGAAAAGTAGTCTTTCTCTACAATGGGGACCAAAGCAGCTGACATCATTCTCCTCTCCCCCTTTTGACTTGCACAACAACCCTGTGAGGTAGGTTAGACTGAAAGTTTGTGACTGGTCCAAAATCACCCACTCAGCTTCTACAGCAAGAACCTGGATCTAGCAGACCCTGCTCTGAAGCACTGACTGCTACGCTTAGGGTAGCCAACCTCCAGGTGGAGCCTGAAGAACACCAGGTATCACAACTGAACTCCAGACCACAGATCTCTCCCCCCCCGGAGAAAATAACTGCTTTGGAAGGTGGGCTTTATGGCATTCTGTTCAGCTGAGGCCTCTCCCCTCCCCAAACCCTGGCTTCCATAGACTCTACCAGAAAATCTCCAGGAATCTCCCTACCTGGAGCTGGCAACCCTAACCAGAACTGGCCCCAATGAGTTCCTCACAAAGGCCTGCAAAGGGTTTCCTTGCTTTGTCTGAACCAAGCTTGGTTGCCTACTATGGCAAAATGGACTCCAGTTTACAACTCAACTGTTTGCCTCCCACCCTCGTCCCGTGGGCGTATCTCACTCCTTAAGTTCGCTGCCACCACGCACGGAATCGTCACTGCCTTTTTAAAGGGACAGTGAGACCCCTCTGGCTGAATCTCCCTATTTGGAGA